CGACGTATGCGATTCCTCGCTTATGCTTCACAGCTCACCACCAAGCCTCCACCCTACTGCACCATTACAAACTTTACCTGCTCATAAGTTGCTTGTGAAATGCAGGTTGCAGTTTTGCTATCTATATTTGTAAATAACCTTATAGACTATCGATCTACCCAGGTCTCCATTCAAAGTTCCATGGTGAGTTGGCAGACTTCCCTGGTGAGATATTATGCTTGACCCAAGTTCATATTGTGATGAGAAACTTTTTAGGTACGTGCAGCCACCATCGATGATTCGCATGTGCAAAAATATGTGACCTCCACCGAACTTTTGAAAGCCACTGGTAAATAAAGTTCAATGCGCAATGTTGTAGCGTAGTAAAGTAGTCATCATCCGTTCTAGTGACTATTAGTAATTCAGAATAATTGCTGATGTCTTTACTTGAACCGGTAGCTGAGCTGTTTTATAGTGTTGATATATAGTTCGGCTATTTGTACTCAGAACAACGTGTGATCTTTCCTCATAGGCGTGATTGTTTGCTAGATTTTGTGATGAGTCCATAAAGCTGTGAGATTTTTGTTCATTGTAGACAGGTAAAAGGGTAGGAACGTTAAAGGCAGTGTATACGGGGAGACGGCAAGAGAACCGTAGTTTGCCGCTCCGCCGCGCGCGGCGATGGGCGCGGCGTTTTCTTAACTTGTGCTAGCCTGTCGACTGGAGCACCAGATTTCTTGTGGACTTAGAAACTAAAAACATTTATGGCTACCTTCGGTTCTACAATGCCTGTTGTCGCCAGCTACGCCCTCTAATTATCATTTGTGGGCGCGGCGTCGCACGCGACGCCCACCAGCGTGTCGTATTTTGATTCCCTTGTCACATAGCGATGGGCAGTTACGCTAGCATTTGTGGACGATGCCACGTGCCGGGAGGCTGGCCAACGGCCCCTCTCACAGCCCTTCTACCAATGATGCTGGTAACAATTGCCCGCCTCCAGCAATCAGGTCCACTGCCTTTGAGCGTCATTCTTCTGAGATAGGCAACAAATATTAACCTCCTTATCAGGATCGTGGAAGTACTTTATTGCCTGCATTAGGTCCGCTGTTAGAGAGCCTATCCGATGGCTGAGGTAGTCGCTCATTTCTCCCTGGTCAGTTTGGCGCACGACCATCTCCAGGATCAACAGCTTGTTTGTTTTTTTGAATGGGGTGTTTTGCATGTACCTTGTAGTCTTGCTCGCTGCGAATGGTGAAGCCCCGAGGCAGGGTGCGGATAGGGGCTTTTGGCGCGCGCAGCCTGATTTTCTACCAGTCTTGTGATATTTTTCTTCAGAATTTTGGTAGGACGGCGCATGCGTCGAGCCCCCCCCCCCCCCTCTCCTCTGCACGACTCACATTCGCCACGTGAACAGGGATTGTTGACGATTGGCGTCAGGTTTCCTCAGACAGTGATGAAAGATTCTGGGTGTTCATCGTAACCATCCGCCTTTCCCAAAGCTGACGCTCTCCAAACAAAAATCCTACAGAACTTAAATATCACTACTCTCCATATTGATTTTTTGAAAGAAATTGAAAGAGGGAGGTTGTGGCGGGAGGTTTACGGCGCACTGAACCATTCTTTCCCCAGAGATTCTTTCTTCTTCTGTATTCGTAAGCAAAATAACGGATATGGTCACCACTCTGTCGAAAAATGGCTACGAAGAAGATTTTATTATTACTAGCATTGTGAAATGTATTTACAAAAATAAATTTATAAGTTACAAATACTCTATTGCAAATAACTATAAAAAGATAAGTAGGCTGGTTAGAAGTATTCTCATTAGCAGCGGTGTTCAACACTAACTCTCCTTTTATCCCTACACAATTTTGGGATTATACCCTTTTTTATTTGGGCCCATAATCAGCTCGACAGTGTCTTTACTCAACATTCCCTTAGTTTAGTGTTTCTTTTACTCAACATTCCCTTAGTTGGTTTAGCCCATCTACACCAATCCATTTTTCTTTTTTCCTCTTACACGTATTTAGTACTCAAACCTAGGTTATATCATTTCTCTCATTTTTCTGCTACCAGTTCCTTTCTCATCTTTTATTGCATGAATTTTACACGTGAGCTTTTTCTACATGTTTTCTCTTTTTGTCCTATTTCTTAGCTCCTTCCCCTGTGTAGTCCATGTCCATGTCTTCAACCCTGTCGTACTGACGAGCCCGGGGGTTGGTAAGACTTCGATGATTCGTCTACGACAACGGGCGAAACGGATCATCTGTGCTGTGGAGTGTATGCCATTTCCCAATGTTTGGTTTTCTTTGT